TTTGTTCAAAAACTAAAAGTAATATCTGAACTTGACTGTAAAATGATGATGAAATTTAGTAAAAATTTTAACAAACTGTACACTAAATATTTGCACTAAATTTTAAGCAGGAAAAATGTGATGCATTTAAAATATTGATATTAATAACATTTGTATGTAAAACTTACTCCCTGTCCAGTACAAGACAGTTGACGCCTCCCTTATCAGCGGCAATGACATTGGCATTTCGTATATCTTCTCTGTAATAAAAACATATATTACATGGTTATTCTGAAAATACATTCTGAAAACAACTTTTATAAGTGATAAATCCATGATATTGGTATATGTACATTCTGACAATAAATATTATTAAACCATAACATACCCACTGAGTGCTTTTTCACCAAAGTAATCTCCTCTCCTGAGTGTCCGTATAACTTTTGCATTTGAATTTGAGGAACTCCTTTGTGTAACTTGGCACTTAAAAAGAAATACACACACCAGTTTTATTCAGTGAAATTTTATTTAAATTATTATGTGATTGTTTATTGGTAATCAAAGTCAGTATTATTATTTTTTGTTAATATTAATATTGGTTTAGGAGCTAGCTGAGAGTTAGCTACTGAGAAAGGTATACAGTGGTACTACCCTCTCCCCCTCCCAATGATGTAACTCTGATACATCTCAATATTGAACAAATCAAGTCTTTTAACCAAACAATGACATAATTTTGTAGAAAGAATTATATTTCACATCACTCACTTGCATTTGAACAAAAAATGTTTAGAGAAAGTGATTTTATTCAAACAAGTGGATTGTATGTTCAATCATTTGGCATTAAATACTCTTAGCACTAATTTTCCTCAGCCAAAAATTATGTATTTTATAATTTGTTTTGTGATAATTTTGAACCAAATTAATCTAATTCAAGTATCAAACTAATCAGAGTAGATGTTTTCAAGAAATAGCCTACACTAACAGTTTTGACCAAAAATTACATTACAGAAAATTAAAGGTATCATCATGAAATGATCAAATCTCATAGAGACTCACTCAAGGAATGTAGCTAAAAAGTATAAAAATGTGGGTTTTATTTGGTGGAATGTGAGAAAAGTCGGTGCTCAAAAACTCATAATTGAATCAATGCAAAACATAACATGAAAATCTTTATTATCATGAAAATTAAAAAAAAAGTAGCCCTATAACTATTCATATCATTAAGATTAAATAAATAAATTTAACTGAATAATGACTATTATTTTCTAAATAATTTTGGCTCAGAAATTTCCTGTCGCTGTTATCTTTACTGACAACTCTTCTGCGAAAAAAACTAAGCACTGGGTACTTTAGATTCATATTTTGAATTAGGACTATAGCGCTGTGTGATCTATCACAATGGCATTATTATTGTATTAATTTTGCCTAGGCATACATAACCATCTACCAAAATGACATCAGCAATGGTGGGTCAAATGTTCGTTGTAATCAAAAAGTTGTGTTTTCAATGTTTTTTGTTCAATACTTTGCCTGACTATCTATTTCCGATTCACTTATGCTGTACTTTGCATGCTTGAAATTCAGATCACTACAGTACAGTTTTAATAAATCTAATACCATGTGATAAATACGCTTCTACTTAAAATGTACTCTCCTCTGCCACTAATAATTGGATGCTTTGCGCATCTCCCAAGACAGTCATCATCTTTAGATAGAAAACACAACAGATTGGCTTATAGCTAATACAGACAATGAGCCACGTGGGAGACACAAGTCAGGCTATAAATATTAATTACACAATTCCTCCATTGGGACTCTCTTTAATAGTTACATTGTATTTAAGAAATACAACAAATGTTGGACATTCATTCATTCGTTCGTTCGTTCGTTCGTTCATTTGTTTGTTCATTCATTCATTCATTCATAGAAATCAACAACACTACATGTATGATATCATTTGGTCAGAGCTGCTTGATGTAATGTATGACATCACGGGTGAGTACATGTCACCATGACTACCAACCCGCTCTATGAATAAGTGATATCAGGTGATAACCTTTTTATCACATGACCAACTCAATATAACTCCTTGATATTTTTTTTTAAATAAACTTTAAGTTGGTATTCTTATTTGTATCGCTGAGAAACAAATATTACTGTCACATGATTTGTTTTTTTTCCTTGAAGACACAAAAAATGATAAGTTTTAGTTAAATCTTGATTAAAATTTGTAAAATCAAAATTATCACAGGAAATTTTTAATTTCTTGGTGGAAAAATATAGTGACTTGAAGTAGTGTTGACATTCCAATGGAACTGTTGTAAGATAAGTATACCTTTCCTCTGCTGATGATATAGAAGGTATCTCCACTTGCCCCTTGTCGTACTATACATTCACCATCATCATAATATGTCTGTAAACAAAAATATGGTGTTCCAGGGTAAGTCAAACCAGTGAAGAAAAAGCCATGTAGATCAGAAAACATGGTTCCAATGTACATAACAATTTGAACAATAAATATTCATATAAGACTAAATTTCAGGTCCAAAATGCCAAAAATGCTAGACTTTGATGAATTTTTAATAATTCCGCAATTTTGAATCTGAACAAATAAATACATGATCATGTGTATGACATGATGTATATACAGTCTGAGAATAATTGGTCAAGGCTTGTCAGAGATATGATGGCCATTTTCATTTTGGATCTGATCTAAAAAACAAAATGATGTGCATCAAGGTCCCATAATGTCTACTGTAAGTACCAATTTTAAACAAAATTCATTCATGCCTGATCAAGATCTGGTTCTGGAAAGACAAAAATACTTGAGTTTGAAAACTTACAGCATATAAGTGCACATGCAAATGCACCCAATATTTCTGATGTACATGTAAGTTTGTATAAGAAAAGTTCAGAATAGCTCAGGCTATACAGATGAAGATGCACAGACAGACACATATAGGTCAATCAACAGGTTCCTGTTTTTTTACTTTATTCAAACAGGAACTAAAAAAACATTCATCATGTACAATCAGATAAAATTGATTTTTTACTGAGGTTTTTGAAATCAAGCTATATGCATCAGAAAAAACATCTGTATATTGGAAAATACTGATCAGAACAGTTTAAGAATTTTATTTATTTATTAATGAATATAATTTGTATTATTAACAATGATATTTATAATGAAAGGTCAAAAGTGAATAGCTTTATTTGTTTACATGACAAATTTGATGTTATGAAATCTACATCTGTTTACTTCCCATGATGTATACGACTGCTAACTATTTATAACAACATTGTTTTTATTTACTTCAAATAACCGACCAATTAGGCAGAATTCCTCAGAGGTGTTGTCAACAATTGTTTGACAAATCTCACAAAAATGTTGGTGCAGCTCAGTTTGATTCCCTAGTGTTTGTCACTCATGTCGTTCATGTTTGGTACAAAACAGACAAAGTATTCAACATATATACACAGGGATTGCGTTAGCGTTTTTGTTTACCAAGTCTCGATAAGAAAATGAACTGGAACTTATATACTGTAGAATACTTTATTTTTGCTTGGAATTTATTTTCACTATTTTCGCTGAAGAGATGATTCCGTGAAAATAAAATCCAGCGAATATACTTTTTTCCAATATTTCACATTAAACCCATCAAAAATCAGTGAAAATAAATTCCAAGCAAAATGCCCAAAAAGACTTTTCAGCGAAAATTTCTTCCAGCGAAAAAAAAGTATTCCACAGTATTCTGTGTGCCTTTTTGTGTTTAGGTGAGGGTCCCTCTTTTATATTGGGGGTCCAGGAATCAGAATATGAGAATTAACGTAATCTCTGTGTATACATTACATGGGACTCATATCATGACATGGGACCCATCTCATGACAACTGTGGTGCTTTAACTTACTTCTTCTAAAACATCTGCTATTTTATTGAGGCCTTCTTCAGGAAGTGTTTTAAATGTTGGCACACTGAAATACATCAAATATGGTGAAAATTACATATTGCAGGATAATAGAACACAAATAAAAAGAAATATTGTATCTGTTTTTCCATGATAATTCATTGATAATATATTGTATGCAATGGTAATGTTGATGGATATATTCAAAGGTTTCTCACACTTTAGCATATACAATAAATTCTATAACTTCAATAAGAGTTACTACTTGCGCAGAATTTCAAAGTGATTTTTTTTTATGTCTATGAATAAGAAAACAACACATCTAACAATGCAAAAAAACAAAATAAGTGATTAAAAGCTATTTATGAAAAACAGCAGTGTTTTAAAGTACCTAATAGAACTATACTCCACTGATTAGAGTAAAAAAATCAATTGATTAGCAGCAGATCTATTCATCTATGCTAGTTGCTTATGAGGCCCTCACCAGTCACTTTCTATTCACCACACACTGATTCAAAATAAGACACACAAAAACAATCTAAGTTTATATGGAATTCCATATTTTACAAATAGTTTGAATCCAAAAATAAAACATTTGGCTATAAATATAAAATTATGTAATATGTAAATATGTCAAAATTATGAATTATTATATAAGTAATATGGATATGGTCCTGAATAAATTAATTTTGAATTCAGATTGACAAATTTTAAATTAATTGGATATTAATGATTTGTAAAATTAAATAACCAATGTTAAATGGAATCATCTAGATTAAGTTACTAGCCATACAATTGATTTCATTGGCCATTGTTAGTGGGATGCTACAAATAACTAATTAATACATACTGTACTGAACTGCGCTTGGTAAGAAGATAGGAATCTTCGGTTGGACGATCTTTGTCACCTGACCTCATGCAGCAGCAAAAATAATAGTAACAGGTATCGGCGTACCATTGCATAGTATACCTACTGTCACATTCTCTACTGTACACTTATGAGGGACCTCTGAAGTGTGATCGGAATTTCAACTCACTTAAGTACTCAATATAAATGATGCTTCCCTAGCATGATTAGATTTTTCATGAGGCAAATACTGATTGTGAAGAAATCCTTGAATTATGGTGTTAACACCCCTATTAATAATGGTTCAACCTTTTAGGATAAAAATAGCTCAGTTTCTGTAATACGAAGTAACAATTTCCAAATGATTTCAATTAACTCATTTATTTAAAAAAATCAGCTGCTATTAAATATTTTGAATAAAGTTATTAATAATTTTCTTCACTAAACCATTTCTAGAACCTTGTAATAAAAATATTGGGATTGCCAGGAATTACACTTATGATTGAAGAATAAAGTTGTCATTCTTTCTTTGAAAAACAACTATTTATGAAATAGCAATCTTTAAATAGGACATGTATATAAACAATAATTTACAATTGCATCAATTATCATATTTTTAGAAAATTATTAATAATGAACAAAGTATTACTGTTAAATCAACCCCCATTTATTTTATCTATCAATAATATTTTTTATAAAGCTGATAAGGAGAACTAGTAAGATTTTATCTGCCATTGTCATAGTTACGTAATTCTTACTAAGCAGCAATTCAAAATGGCATATCAAAAGCTACTTAGCTGAAGCCTGACATGCTACTTACAACAAAATACTTATACATAGTGCTTTTCATATCAATTTCTGTTACCAGGTAATATTCAAATATTTCTTTTTTAATTTATTTAATACATTTTGAGTCAAATAACATATTTCAATGGCAGAAAATTATGATATTGTTTAAAGATTTATAAATATTTAATACCCAAAAGATTAGTACTGTCATGAATAAGAAGATACTGATTAGATTCCGATTTTGCTTTGTTTAACAACTTTTTTAAACTTTCTAGATTTCATTTTAGAATCAAATCATTGCAGATATTGCAGTAATAATGAGACAGATAATCATTCTATAAATAAATAGAACTGTGAATTATAATGGCATAAAAATAAAATACAGATCTAACCTTGCACTTAATGACCCATATGAGATGATAATTACCAAAATAGAGTTGTTAGTTCAGACATGTGGGTACATTCTTTAATGTATTAATATTTAACAAATACATCTGATTATAGTACAATCTTAGGGCACAGGTCTATCCTGAATCTGAACTAAATGGAAAACTGTCAAAAAGACAGACTGTGCTAAAATTAGATTCCTTTCAGTTAGATCCTGTACTGATGGATCTTAACATTATAATGTAGGGGTAGTTGGTAGAACGTGAGGGTGATATGTGATTTGATATTTGAATACACAGGATTATGGGTAAACTTCACAAAAAATTATCATTACTTGAGCATATTTATTGATGGCATCATCAATTTCTGTAGACTGGTTGGTGCCATTGGCTCACTAAAATGATAAACTGCAACTGAAAAGCATATATTGCTGACATCAACAGTGACATTATGCATATTAATGTACTGATGACATCATATGTATAACATGATGACATCATCAGTGACAGTGTGCATTACATGATGACATCATCAGTGACAATATGCATAACATGATGACATCATCAGTGACAGAATGCATAACATGATGACATCATCAGTGACAGTGTGCATAAATGATGACATCATCAGTGACAGAATGCATTAATGATGACATCATCAGTGACAAAATGCATAACATGATGACATCATTACTGACAAAATGCATAACATATGTAATACACAGCCACATACTTTTTGAGAAGAGCCACAAATTCTTCTAGTCGCAACAGTCCAGTTTTCATCATAATAGCTTGGAAGCACGGTCTGTCTATAGCCCATAATTTTGTGTTTGTGCTAGCTGAAACAGTTAATAAACAAATATTAATACAAATTAATTTCTCAAGTCAAAGTCATTGACTTAGCTTTTTTTTTCCTCATCATCTGCTGCAACTCTTGCAGGTATGGCGCCCCCAGTGTTAATTCATATATATATAGTTGTTGTTTTTTTTACGAAATGACAACCAATAATCCACAATTACAATTAATTTTAGAATGAAATAAATTCATAGATGGGAAAACAACTCTCACCTTTGACAGTAGCAGTTCTTGTGCAATTATAAAGAATAGCTAGTTCACCAAATACTTTGCCTGGACCCATGAAACAGAGAAATTTACCCTCTTTTGTAACTTCTACTTTACCCCCTGTAAAATAAATAAATAAATAAATAACACTGTAAATTCTTTTGTATCACTTTTGATCATTTGTCCCATCAATCTGGTCATATGTTAATTTATTCCTGCAAACCTTACACATGTCTATTTGTCGTAAAGTAGATTGTAAACCACCTCATGCATCTACAAGATCTTGACAATAACAGTTTATAATCATAAAAACACTTATGGTGATTAATTATACAAATACGGTAGTACAACATGTCATTAACCGTTAACGCAATGGTATATCGCCCTCATGGTTGGTCATCACAAATCCCTTTGTTTATCACTTCAAATTTGTTTGGGTGTAGGTTTTTCTCATAAAAGTTGAGAGAATCTTTGTAGCTGGGTGAGTCCATTTACATTGCATGGTAGAGGGGGAATTGTTGGTGATTTTGTTATTGAAGAAAGAATCTTTGTGGATAGGAGATTCAGTTTATACTGCATCGAAGGGAAGGGATTGTTAATGACATGGAGGGGAGAATCTTTATGGAGGGGAGGGATGGTTAAATACATAAAAGTGAGAATACAAATGTATTTGTGGGTGGAAGATTCCATTTAAACTGCATGGAAGGGAAGGGTTTGTTAATGAAATGGAGGGGAGATTCTTTATGGAGGGGAGGATCTTTGTGGGTGGGAGATTCATTTATACTGCATGGGAGGGGAGGGATTGTTAATGAAATGAAGGGGAGAATCTTTATGGAGGGGAGGATCTTTGTGGGTGGGACATTCATTTATACTGCATGGGAGGGGAGGGATTGTTAAATACATGAAAGTGAGAATATTTGTGGGTGGAAGATTCCATTTAAACTGCATGGGAGGGGAGGGTTGTTAATGACATATGGGAGAGAGCGTTTCTGTTGGTTAATGATTCCACTTACATATGCAAGAATACAATTCAGAAGTTAGTTTAACACAAAAACATATAAAAATCTTCATGTTATTGTAGATGGATATTTCTGCAGAGATTGTGACAATCAAGACATTAATTAAGTATCTTACTGGAAGTCCAAGTATAGACATCAGAGAATTGAGCGAGGGCGGTGTTCAACATTACTTGATCTCAGAGTATCACTCAAACACAAATTGGTGATATGGGGAAACATACTTTTCCTCTTTAGTAATTAACCCTTATAGTAATCTAGTTTGAAATTGAGAGAGAGGTCAATGCCTTATGCTACATTCTTGCAAGCATTGTATGGTTAAACTGGTGATACAGACTGCCGGCAACACAAATTGACTTCCATTTTCATGAAATATACAGATGTTAATTCTCAGCTACTAGTAGTTGACTACTGAACCAATACAGTATATTTGCTCTCTTAGATGCACATCTCCAATAGAAACAAATTCAAACCAAAAATGTATTGTATATTGGATTCTACATTATTTTGACCTTGGCACACCTCTGTTAATAACATAAGCAAAAGTGCTTCTAATAGATTAATTGTGGTATGTATTAATATTGTGACATTATTGAGTTTAGCAGATAGGAGGAAGGCTATTTTAATTGTGCTATGGTGCCTAGCTAATATAATGCTGACTGTGGATCAACGCAATCATACTGAACTAGAATGAGCATTTCAAACAATCAAGTCTCCTGTAAAACAAAGTCATCATTTTGAAGTGATGATGCTCCCCAAGTTCATGATCCGCCCAAGTTCAAGATCCGCCCAAGTTCATGATCTGCCCAAGTTCATTCAGAAGTCATTAACTCTGTGACACAGCTACACCAGGTATAGATTACGAACAATGGTAACTTATCCCTGCACCTGACAATGATGCTAAAAATAGAATCTTAAGTACCCTTAACTTTCAAGCTGAGCAAGTCACGTACTTCATATATAATTTGTACAAACTCTAGTTCAATTGCACTGTAACAGTTGAATCCATATCTAATTACGGATCTAGTCCGGCTTGTTTTAACTTCAAATTGAATTGATTGGGTATCTCACTTTACCCACTTAACATTACCTCGTCTCATTTCATCTTGTTTGTCATCTATCAAGTTTGTAGGTTAGTGTACTAATGTGAGTTTTCTTGTTCTTCACTTCAAATCATTAATTTCATGCTAAAGGACAACTTATCTAATGATATGCATGAAATGTTATTCATTAAAATCAATCTCTATTAATTTATAAATGTACATCACATTCATCTTAACTGAAATTGACGCTACTGTATCAGAACAGAGGAAAGGTGGCTTCCTATTAGAGCATCAACACATATGAGAAACAGTGAATTTTTTGATTATCAATTTAAAGATGAAGATTCCGCTTCTAATACAGATTTTACAGTCAGTATGAAGCAGACTCAATTATCTAACAAATGCAACTTCAAACACCAAAGCTGGTTTGAAACCTGCCCTTCCTTACCAAATGTGAAGCTAAAAAACATGTCTATAATACATCTATTTGAAACCTGTTCAAGAGTGGGAAAAAGGGAAAAATCATCCATAAATAGCACACAGAAACATGTTTAAAACAAGCAGCCAGTCTGCTGAGATAGCTCCGCTGTTAGCAATGCACATTTCAATTAAAGAACTGAAGATATCATTAGAAAATGAACAATATGTATAGTATCAAAGCAATGGGACTTGCTGTTTTCAACAAGAATTCAAAAATATCACTTTTCACCAAAATGACAAAAATATTCACCAAAATTAGAAAATTAAATATATCATTACAAAATGAACAAATCTGAGAGAGGTCCACATGTAGTATCTATATATGTAATATTAAAGCAATTGGACTTGCAGTTTTTAACAAGAAGTCGAAAATATCACTTTTTACCAAAAATGACAAAGATATTCACCAAAGTTAGAGAATTTAAGATATCATCATGAAATGAACAAACCTAAGAGAGGTCCACGCAAGGTACGTATACACCAAGTATCAAAGCATTCAGGCTTGTAGTTTTCAAGAAGAAGTCGAAAAAATAAAACATTGACACGGATGACGGACCCTCACTCATATGATAAGCTCCGCTCGACAAAGTTGACAGCGGAGCTAAAAATGTTTGAGAAATTGTTATTTACAGAAACAAATTTCAGCTGATAGAACAGATTATAAATTTATATTATATTATAATTTATTATTGTATTTTCAAAACATCAATTCTAAACTTAGTATGCAGATGTAATTTCTGGCTATAAATATAAATGTTTGAAAGACATCAATATAAGTCTTAACCAGTAAACCTATATTTAACCATAAATATGTTTAAAACTCATTTATCGTCATAAATTTATGTATAATCTTGCAATATTTTCTCTTACATTGACGTCAGCATTTGTTACCACAAGAGTTTTTTGTGTCAATTCGAGCTGCAGGCGAGGATTGCTGCTACACTGGAGGTAAACATGAGTGTTGCTGACGTAAACCTAAGAGAATATATCGTGGGATTGTATATGTATATTTTAACAGTATGACAGTAAAATGAGTGTTGACAGTGGAATTATTGGTGAAATAACGCCGAATACAAATGTATCATTGCGTGTGCCTTGTATTCTAATTTTGTTGACGCCACAGTATTCTATTGCAGTATTCTAATGTCTTGCATACGCTGTGTGGCAATTCTGCTCATTTGTGATCTTTGCTGAAATTTGTTTTTGAAGGGACTGAATAAAAATACACATGTGAGCTTGCAAAAATGATGTAGTTATTTGAAAGTATATAGCCCTACAAGCTTAGGACAACAATCAGGCAGTGCGCACAGTGAAAAACGTTTGACAGTATGTAAGCTTGTAACACTGAGGTGATATTGATTTTTGATCTGCCTTGTCTCACATCATGTGGTGATACACAAATAATGCATGTGATATTGTACACTTATCCTAATAAATATATTTGCAACACCATAAATATTAATAATTAAAAAAAAACATGCAATATGCATTATATGTTGTAAGAAAAAAAGCATTTCCATCAAAACACAATCTCTTGTGTTATTTCATGACCAGAAAAGATTTTTACGACTAAGCACCACATTACTAAACACGTGCCACAATAGTGTTTGTTCTAAATTAGAGTCGAACCAAGAAGGTCCAAAATGTGGTTGAATTTATAGAAGAGGAGTTTTTACAGTAAATTCAATTTCTGGTTTATGTGTGCTTGTATTAAAGGTGTACTTCAAATATACAAAAGCTGGACACACACTTTTACCAAAAGAAAATTCATTAAAGTCGCGCAATTCTAATTTTTATAAAAAAATTTGGTGAAAGAATTTTGATTTGAGCCTACAAGGCTCTACAAATAGTCTACAAATAGTCTACAAATAGTCTACAACTGATCTACAAATGATATTTTGGGGCAATCCTTTTTTTAATATTCATGCACTGGGGTACAATACAAATATTTACAAATAGTTAATCAAGAATATTATCTAAATATAATATATGAATTATGTGTATTTGTACTCAAACAAATAAATACAGTGGAGGATGATTTATTGATGGCCACTATTCAGGTGTCGTGTTTGTCAAAGCATGCACATGTGTCACACACTCTACTTAGAGTATGTTATACCCAGTAAACATGGCAACATCCCCGCTAACAATAAATGTATTAATTATACTGTGGAACATTGTAAAGTGAAATATAATATGCAATCCTTGAATAAACATTGTATGCTTTTATAATCAAAGTTTTCTTCTCAAATTCTGAATGTGAAATGTTGATACTGATGTCAGAATAGTTCAATCAGTAAATGCCATGTGATCCATTATGAAAATGAAAGCT